GCTTGCGTTGTGGCCGAAACGTCGTGAGAATTATTTTATTGTGTTTTATTTTTATTATTTTATTACTTCCCTTCTACGTGACTTTACCGAAAGAACCAAGAAGACATTGAAGCGGGCAAACACTGCACTGGCTTCGACGTTCACTCTTAGCAACAGAGTCAAACCTGTTAAACAAATGTCACATACCTGCCGGGTGCTATAGGCAAGAGGTGTCATGATAAATTGTGGGAAATGTTGCCTCACTATAAGCACGTGCTTATAGTGAGGCGTATAATTAAACCGTGGCTGAGTTAAATTTCGATTTAAAGCTTTCGTGACTGCAGGGATTCATCTTCTTGGTTCTTTCTGTAAAGTCACGTAGAATGGAAATAATAAAATAAAACATAAGATAATTTTCACGACGTTTCGGCCACAACGCAAGCAGCCGTCCTCAGGTGAAGACCAGGTCTGTCGGGGAGACGCTGACGGCTGCTTGCGTTGTGGCCGAAACGTCGTGAGAATTATCTCATTATGTTTTGTTTTATTATTTTATTATTTCCATTCTACGTGACTTTACCGAAAGAACCAAGAAGACGTGGCTGAGTTATCACGATCTCGCCACCATGGGTGTGATACTGTGGCCAGAAGTTAATTACCTTGCCTGGTATGCAGGAGGTTGTGGGTTCGATCCCGACCCTGATGCTTGTATATTTGGAGTTTGCATGTTCTCCCCGTGGTCATGTAGACTTTCCTCTCCATTTCCTCCATTTTTTTCTCTCCACATTTATACTCAACATGCGTTTTAGAGTATTTTACTGCGATACATTTCCACGTGATAAGCCACTTCTTTGACCTATCATTTGTGGCCAAGTCACTTCTAAAAAAGAGCTATATAGCTCAGTCCGCCTTCCCTGATAAAATAAAAAAAGTTACGTTTTTTGACCTCCTAGTGGAAGTCAGTCAAACACAATGCTACATTTAAACCAAGATGTCCCATACAGTCTTATCACGTTTTTCCATCGACAGCCAAGTTAAATCATAATGTTTGGTTTGGAAATTGTGCCTCCTATAAGCATGTGCATCTCAGAGTGGTTTACACCACATCTCATTTCAAACATTTGAATGGGCACCCCTAGTAGCAGCTATCCCTATGGGCATAAGGTGACTCAGCAACAACGGCCTGCATGTGGGCATCAGTGTGTCACTAGGGGACAATAATTGCTACGTATAATTCCACATGAGTAGAGAGGAGTGCGCTTGAACTCAAGTTGAAAGAAAACTCGAATCGGTAAAAAAAAGGCATTTCCTTGAATTTCCAAGTGACTGAAGTCATCACATGAGTTCCACAGGCCTTTCCCAGAAACACTTTAGAGTAAGACTTTCCCAGAAAAATGTGCAAGTAAATGGTCACGACCAGATCTCTGACAAAATGAATCATTAAATGTTAAGTTAAAACATTCGTGCCATCTGCAACCTTTTCGATCGTAGCATTGTTTGGTGAAAGTTCTACACGAGGCCATCATTCTCATGTTGGGAGGTTGAGGCTGGCCCATGAAGTGAAATTGGCCTCGAAAATTCAGGCTACAGCCTGCAATGGCAGTCTGTTTAAGTTGCACAATAATATTGAAACACAGTGCTGGCGAAGCAATATCAAATATACGTACTGGAATTCTATTGCTCATGGATAGGCAGAAAAATTGACAAGCTTCTTTGACAGCTTTCTTTCATGCAGAACATTAGCAACCACATTTAATTGAACCAATGTTTTTTCGCTCAAGTCGACGAGCCTTACTGCACGATGTGCTGAGACCAACCCAGAAACTAATGATGAACTTTGAGAATTTGAAGAAGTGCACTTATATGAAAGTTTTATACAAAAAAAACATATCTACAGTGGCAAGGCTGCTCTAATTTAAAAGTGGGGTTTGCCATAGCAGCTCACACCGAACTTCGCAAGTCCTGACAACCAAATGAGTAGCCAACCATGGCTCAAATCCAGTGTCCTGCCACCACCCAACCTCCCCCAATTCGTACCTGATGTTGGACTTTCTCAGCCACACTGTTGCCCGCGAGGAACATTCCTTGGGGCCTACGTCACCTCGCCGAGACATGATGACAAAGCCAGAAAATATTCCAGCCTTCGGGAACAGATTTGAAGATTATGCACACTTTATCCCCAAACACGGGGCACAGCACCTGCCAGATGTGTCAGAGCGCTGCAAGTATGCGGAGGGCTCGCGGAAAATTATTTGCACGTGGCGCTGTGCAGAAGGACCCGGCATCTTCTGGAATAGATTTCCGGCTCCAGTCGCAAACATGCCGCGGTGTCGCAGAGACAGCACTGCCCGAGAAGCTACAGACAAGCAGGCTGTTGTTGTCATTTCGATTTAAAGCTTTCGTGACTGCAGGGATTCATCTTCTTGGTTCTTTCGGGTAAAGTCACGTAGAAGGGAAATAATAAAATAAAACATAATAAAATACAATTCTCACGACGTTTCGGCCACAACGCAAGCAGCCGTCCTCAGGTGAAGAACAGGTCTGTCGGAAAGACAGCGTCTGAATCATTCAGACGCTGTCTTTCCGACATTCAGACGCTGTCTTTTCCGACAGACCTGTTATTCACCTGAGGACAGCTGCTTGCGTTGTGGCAGAAACGTCGTGAGAATTGTATTTTATTATGTAAAATTCTTATTATTTAATTATTTCCCTTCTACGTGACTTTACCGAAAGAACCGAGAAGATGTTGTTGTCATTGTTCTATTTGTAAATGTTGGTCGATGAGAATGTAAGGGAAAATAGGGAAGGTAGGTTTCATGTGGTAGCGTCAGCAGGACCGTGGGCTGTAACAAACATTTGACAATCAAGGAGACACAGCTTCTGCTGCTATGAGGTTTGACTAGCAAAGGGTTGCACGCGCCCTCTGTCCCAGCCAGTCATTTGCAAAAGTCTGCATGGAAAAGAAAGGCATGTGTCCATCTCGATCAAATGAGGCCAGCCAGCTGATGAGGCCAGCCAGCTGATGAGGCCAGCCAGCTTCCAATCGCCCCAAGCTCTCACTCCGTGCCATGAGTTGACACATCATCAAGTCATAATAATAAGGGTTTCCCCTTTTTTCTGGCAACAAAACTGAAACCATTTTACGAAGAATCATGTCTGCATTAACCACAATACTTGTGGTCAAAATGTAAACTCTGATAACATATGCATTGTCCTTGAAACTGATTGGTCCACACCAGAGATGGCTTTATTTTGAGCCTCATGTCAATTGGTGCTAGACCAGAGGATGCCAAAAGGCGTACAGCTCAAAAACAATGCACAATATTATCAGAGTGTGTTTTTTGTTCACATTTTTACCACAAGTATTGTGGTTAATACAGACATGATTCCTTGTAAAAAGGTTTCAGTTTTGTTGCCAGAAAAAAGGGGAAAAACCCTATTATTATATTTTGGTACTAGCAAAGGAGGTCTAATGATGATCTTCAAGTCAGCTTCACCCCGGTTAGGAATTAACTATTACCCAACGTTCAATACTTTGCTCACCAAATATGTCTTACTCACCGCCTTCTCTAAGGGCATTTATAACTGCCAGCTTTCTTACATTTATTTCGTGAAAAAACCTGCGCCTGTTTTTATCTTGGTTGACTTTACGTGTTTCCATTTTTCATTCGCAAAACCGCAGCTGGCCACATACACTCCGATATTGTACGCGATTTGTATCGCTGGTCGCCGTTGCATCGCATGTGCCGCGAAAGCCAGAACCAGACTGATTGGCTTCAAATCAAGCCTGCTCCCAAGCGAGGCTGATAAAACAAAGTTTGCGCACCTGTTCACTCTGGTAGGGGTTAGTGCGCAATTGTAAAACGTGTTAATGTTTTTATATGCAGCCAAGCCTGACCAGAGCCCGGGCCAAACTGGGAAGGTCTGGCAAGGGTAAACACCATGTTATATTATTGCCTTTGGGATACTAAAGGGTCCCCTTTGCACACGGGGTGCTATGCTTCCTTCCTCCCTTCCATTATCCTTCCCTGTCAGTCAGACCCCAGCTCAAGAATGCTCGCTTCACGCAGCCCGAAAAGGAACGTACTTTCCCAGATGTGTTTGCAAACGTTTGGCACAGTGTACTGCAACGCTGAGAAGTGTGGCGATGGTCATTGCGTCGTTATATAATACACGCATAAAACTGTGAATGCAATTAATGATTGCTGTGCTCGTTGGCTGATTGTGGATCCAAAGACATGGCTTCACTGACAGCGTTCCCCACACTATCACTTAATCCTAATTGCTTTTTCACACAAATAATGTGTAGAACTATACCATTATAACAACCAAGCCATTTCAAGTGCATATGAAATACGTGATTTTATCCATACAAGGATACACGTTAATAAGGGGAAGCCAATTAAAGGTTTCGATATTATAGCCGAGTACTTTGGACACGTAGCGAGAAGACATGGTGCAGTGAAACACACAATTAGAGAGGAAGATTTACGAAAAACGGACCACAGGGAGGCACAGGATGTGATGGACAGGCGGTGGGAGAACTTGATGAGCACTTGGGGTCCCCCCCACGGTGGGTGTGATGAGTCTGAGCACGAGATCGACGGAGGCGGACGGCACGCGAAGCCGCAGTCGGGCGAGTGTCTCCGTAGCAAGACCGTGGTACAGTGCGTTGTGAATTACGTACCTTAAACGTTAAACAAAATACAAAATCGCATCATCTAAAACAGTGACCCATGCCTCACAGCAGTCCACTAGAACTTCACCGCATTGGAAAACAATGGTGGGTTTTTTTTTCCTTAACAGATTGACCTACATCAGATTGCATTTTTGTGTGTGTGTGTGTGTGTACATTTTTACAGCATATTTTCTTTTTCTTTCTTGCAGGTGAGGTAACAAGTGAGTTCATTGTCCTCCACCCGGCATTATCTTTGTGTCGGCCCGCAGTTTAGGCTGCCGGCGACAACGGTGACGGGTGGTGTGGTGGGGGGGGTGGACATTGTGGTTTGCTTGGGTGCCCTCACCTGCGCGGAGGCGGCCAGCCTTTGATTGCACTCCTTTTCCATCTGTCTGAGCCGCGCGCTGGCCTGGTAAAATAAAGTAAAAAAAAACACAGAGGCGGCACAGCGTCACCCACAGCGGCCGTGGGCACGGTAAAGATAACACGCGTGTAGCAATAGGGGGCAGGAAACGGAGCCGTGCAACGCAAGACAGCTGGTTAAACAACGAGGCCGCGGGACACCCTATTTTCACAGCAAATACGCAGCCGCACTGGGTCACGTACGTGAAGTCATATATTTGCCTTTCAAGGTGCACACTTCCCTGAAAATGATAATTTCCAAGAATTTTTTTTATTTTTTTGCAGGATCGGGCTTTGAAACAAAAATGTTTTTTAAAACCTTCCCGAATAAACTTCCTCGTAATCATTCAAAAATTAATCGTTGCGTGCTATTTCGGAATTGCGAGATATTACGACGAGTGTAGGGGGGTGGGGGGATAGACGAGTGGATTAGTACTCTTAGCACCAACTCGCCGAGCCGGTTTGTGCTGAATCGACATTTAAATTCCTGCAGCTGCACGGTCATTTTTGTGGAACTTTACCAAGATTGTGCCGACAGCCGTAAAATGAGCATTGCAGACCCTGTGCCATCAAGGGCAGGGCACGCCATGTTATTGTCATCTTCTCAAATTCCACATTTTGATATTTAAAAGTGTCTCCATACCTGTCAACCCATACGGGTTACCCGTATTCTTGTACAGAAAAATCGAGTGAAGGAAATGTTTGATCTATTTGCTTGTGTTTCTCCCTTGTGATGGCACTTTGTAGGATAAACGTTGAGGTTTATAAGGGGCACGGGGTGCCCAATAAGGTCTGAATTGGTCTGTAATAAGGTAGGGCACTGATAAGGGGTTGACAGGCTTGCTTCTATAACACGAGCAACGGTGGTACTTCCTCTCTCCGTCGGTGGCCCTGAGCTGGTGGTGGGAATTCGACGCACCCCAAACGGAGACTCAAGCCTCTCACAGTACGTCGTGCAGAGTTGACGAAGATTTGAATGTTTGCCACTGTTACATGACGGCGTGTAAATGTGAGGGGGTGGGGGATGGGAAATACAAATCAAGAGATATCATGATGAAAATTCTGAACAGCAAATGGGCTTGGACAGGGACTCATCAGCCGACGCGGGATGGTGGCCGATGGACGAGACTGGCAGCCAAAAGGAGGAAACGCGTCCAAGAGAAAGACCACCATGTACATGGAGCAATGAGATCAGTCCATGTGCAGATATGAGATGGCGGCCCCTATTGCTACATGTTATCTTTATAGCAGTGGACAGACAATGTCCGATGAGGATTATCATCATCATCATCCTTACATGACTGCAGCTTGCCAAATCTCCCCGATCCCCTTGACAAAAGGCGTGTTAATCCTAAAAAAAAAAAATTAACCAAGGAAATAATTATTGACAATGTTATCCCTTAACAACAATGTTAAAGATTACAATGTTGCTCCTTTAATAACAAACCTTGGTCCTTTAACAAACCGGTGTGCCCAACTAGTAGCAACTGTGCATGTTCCGTTTACGTGACAAACCTTACACTAATTGGCTGTGTCGGGTTTAACGACACATTTTTACGTATGCGTTCGAACCCAAAAGAAACCTGTATCATGGATAATGTTGTTCCTGCCAGGTAAAATAGAGGTTGCACTCAAGGGGTTCTCGTGCATTCCGTGGATGCAAATTTGATCCTTGGTCCCAGAATATCCAACAACCGGTTCGTGTTCCAAAGACAGAATGGAGCTCCTTGAGTGATGCGGGGCCATGGGTCATTAATGCGCAGTAACCCACGGACCGTGTTACATGGTAATGGTGGCATCGACTGCTTGTTTACAGCTGGTTCACCTGGCATGCTGTTTTATGTATATATCTGCATTACAGCGGTACGCAAGAAAGGTATGCTTCCTGTTGCCCGCCCCCCCCCCACCCAAAAAAAATAAACCCCAGGCGCTGCTGTATAGTTAAGCGACTGCATGGAAACAGATACAAATCACAAGTATCTTCTTGGTTCTTTCGGTAAAGTCACGTAGAAGGGATATATTAAAAAAATAATAAAAATACTACATAATAAAATACAATTTTTTATTTTTTTACTTTATTATTTCCCTTTTACGTGACATTACCGAAAGAACCAAGAAGATGAATCCCTGCAGTCACGAAAGCTTTAAATCGAAATAAAATCACAAGTAGCCTGTTCGCTTCTCCAGGGCATGATTTATGGAGTTAGTTGCACACATAAAAACTAGTAGGGGGATACACGTAATCAATGTTTTAAAACTGGCTGATCTGCATACATAAATTATTGCATGCAAGACATAAGCAGCACACTGCATTATTTAAGGCGTACCATGTAATTTGCAATCCTTTAAAGCTATATTTACCAAAAGTCAGCTCTGTACCGTTAATGATAACCTTTGCACATCGTGCTGTTTCAAATTCATTAAAATACATCAGACAAAAAAGGTTTCTTCTTTGAAGCCACATTCATAAATAAATAAACGTAAGTAACAAACAAACACACATATTTGAAGTGAACAAGATCTCTAACCCCCCCCCACCTCCCACTCCAAGCCCCTTCCCTGCCAATAGCGTAATGGTGCGATCACACCCAACTGCTCAAAACAGATAACGGGCCAAACCACTGACGCTGGAGGGAAATACTCTTTGGTTCTTTCGGTAAAGTCACGTAGGTGAAAATAAAAAATTCAAAATTACTAGATTAAATCACGACGTTTCGGAAGGCAACACAAGCTTCCGTCATCAGGTGGGACAACCACAGCAAAAAAAAACTGAATTGCTGTAGTGGAGTGGAAGTGAAGGGAGGGAGCCGTGTGTTTAAATTGTTCTGGTGAGCATGCCCCCCCCCCCCCAACCTGCGTTTGCTAACTGCCCAGCAGATACATTTTTTTTTACCTACCTTTGGCTAAAATCTAAACAAATTGTCCCTCCTGTGGAAGGAAATCATGTCCTTAATTAATTTGCAAATCTCCAGTGATCAAAAGAGTTTGCGCACGTGAAAGGTTAAAAAGGCCAATGTATATACAACTTATACTGGTAGGAAGCTCCTGGTTGCACCAGCCCACAGGGGATTATTATGTCCGTCGTGCAGAGAGGGGCTGGGTGGGGAGGGAGGGGCTGGGTGGGGAGGGGAGGGTGGGGCTGGGTGGGGAGGGGCTGGGTGGGGAGGGGCTGGGTGGAGAGGGGCTGGGTGGGGTGAGTGGGGCTGGGTGGGGGGTGGGAGGGGTGGGAGGGGTGGGAGGGGTGGGGCTGGGTGGAGAGGGGCTGGTCACCCCGTGGTGCCCTTATAAAACTCAACATTTAACCTACTCACGCCGGCTTGTGCCCACCCTCACAGTCGGGTATATTTGCGGAATACACCACGCCGCCGTTGACCCTGGCCATTGACCGAGCAACCCAACGTTTCTACCAGCTCCCTCCGCAGGAATGTGTTTGACGGGAATGTGTGCTATTGCAGCAAACTGTCGGGGCGAAATGTGCATGTGAGTGAACGCCTCCTGAGGATGGTGCACCACAATGGTACGTTGGCAGTGGTACACAAGCACAATCAACAAAAATAACTCAACACATTTTGTCAGCCACACTGTGGCCTCAAAAGGAAAAATGCATATAATAGGCGACGTTTCAGGTAATGACCCTTCTTCATAGCACATACGTTGAGACCACGGAAAGAGTGGATTATATGATACTCTTAATTCTTTCGGTAAAGTCACGTATGTAAAAAAAATGTAATTAAAATTAATAAAAATAAAATAATAAACTTGCTGCATCACTTGATGCAGCAAATCTGGCTGTGACGGTCCCACCTGATGACGGAGACTTGTTTTGCCTCCGAAACGTCGTGAGTTTATTATTTTATTTTTATTAATTTCATTTTTTTTACCTACGTGACTTTACCGAAAGAACTAAGAGTATGAATCCTTGCAGTCACGAAAGCTTCAAATCTAGAATGGATTATATGAGTTGGAAACTGCACTCTACACCATGGAGCCTTGAGACATTTCAATAGATTTCCTGATTAGCACTCTTTAAACTGGCATTTACTGTTTTACTTGATTTAAACAGCTGCCTAATCTTTCGAATAATAGTGCATCAAGAAAGGTATCCTAGGTAGTCCCCACAAGGGAGACAGAGACACACTTCGTCCTCATTAGGGCTCATCGGCAAGCTATGCATGGTTGAAGACAGCCAAAGCTACTCCAGTGTTGCAGTAAATTGGTTATCGTGAGGGTTTATAAGACAGTCATACTCAGCTACAGATTGCGATGAATACCCAGAGTATTATCCACAAGGAGACCAGAGCGTAATGAAAGCAGACGACAGTTACAAAGAAAATAAATAGGACTCTTACTTATATCTTCTGTCAAACTTCACCTCCATCATCTTCATCGCCATCATTACCGTATTATAAAAGTACCAAGATTTAAATCCTTAAAAAAAAACATGCTGAAATATTCAAACATTGTCATTTTCTGAGAAGATATAGAGTACATAAAATTATATATATCTTCACGAGCAGAAAGATAGAATGAGAGTTCAGTCATGCCAGTGAGTCTGCCCGTCAAGGACAGGAAAACAAACCATTAGGTGCAGGATGGACTGCACATGACTTATTAGGATTCTTCGTGTGTCGGTGGCTTTGGGGGCCCTGCCAGACTTGTGACTGAGCAGATGAACTCTAAGCGTTGTCGTGGCGGTGGTGGGAAGGGGGGGGGATGAGTGAGTGAGAAGAGAGAGTGTGCGGAGGTTGGGGAGGGAGAGAGGAATGGAGAAAGCCAAGAAGGGAAGAGCAAGGGAGACGGGGAGAGGGGGGGTATGAGGATGGAGGAGACGGAGGTAGACTGAGAAAGGAGTCCGAGAGCCGCCGCCGCCGAATAGACGTCTTTGATGTGCCTCCAGAAAGCAGGCGTAGAACATCCTTACAGCCGGTCGTACAAACGCCTACTACCCAGCGTGATGTGCGAAGAAAAGGCGGGGGGCGACTCCAAAAACCCACACATCAGTTGGCC